TACCTAGTGAACGAAAAGCAAAAAAGGAATGACAAGCTCGACGCGCATTTCGGCATTCTAAACACCGTCGTCAGGAGCAATAAACTTGTGGTGCAACCTTGTATCTGCTTATATACAGTGTAGCAATCAGCGCTAAGCAGCTGTGTGCATCGCGTGTGCGTGTGTTGCCACGTTTCCTCGCACCCCATTGGCCGCTAGTCAGGACACGTGACCAGGAAGCGTCACAGATAGTCCTCCCCATCAAGTGATACCCACGTGGGGAGGCGAGTCACCTGGGGTGGGAGTGGCATAAGCGCATCATCCAGCGACGGAATCTATAGACCACCCACTGGGGCTGTCCCAATTAGGCAATACTAACTCCCCTTCTCGTCAGCCTAGGGACTCCTTTTCATTTATTCCCCGACTTAGGACATTCTGGTTCTATTTTTTCTTTTTCTTTTCATACTGTTAATTGTGGGTTATTCCCCGCTTGGGAAGAATAACTTAGGGCACTTTAGACGCTGATTCATGGGCCAACTTTTGTGGCCCCTGGGTCAGAGTTTATATTTCTCTCATTTTTTTCTTCATGTGTGTGTTTGAGCCTAGTAACTGTGCGATGTGGTGCTGGTGATAAGGAGATTGGTGTGACTGTTGAAACTGTGTGTATATTTGTACAGCTTTTGAATCAGACGTTTTTTTGAAATAATCTTCTGATTCACAAGGCTGTTGGTCCTTTGTCTTGTATGTTTAAAAAAAAAAAAACCTGTGTTGTAGGGAATGGCCTGTCCTGGTGGCCGCATGGCCTCCATGTGGCAGTCTTGACTTAAATTTATTGCAGGGTGTACATGTGGCTGTAACTAGTAGGCCGGAATTCTATGATCAGTTTCTATATATTGACTGTTGGAAACTGATTGTTGAAAAACTGCCTTGGTGAGTTAAACTGTGTCATTTGAGAAACATTGGAGCCACATGGTGGTCAGAACTAAGGACTTAATTACAACGGCTTTGGACATCCCCTCCCCCCTTGCATCTGATTACCAACCCCCTATTCATCCTCCAGAGCCAGAGTAGCCCTTCCCCCACTCTTACTCCCAAGCTAAAAACTGGTATAGTTGGTATTTGCACTCCCCCTGCTCTATTGTCCCCGCCTAGCCACATACCTATCTGTTCTTTTGTTTCAAACTCTTGTATTTCTGTACTACTCCCCTTCCCCCTAATCAATGATTGTTGCGGAGCTGCAATTTTATAATCCCAGGATCTCTGCTGGTAGAATGCAATAACCAAGTACAAAACTGGAAGCAGGCAATATTCCCAAATCCTCCCAAGAACCAGACGAAACACAGTCTGAGAGTCAACTGCCACTTTATTCAAAAAGACTGATATTTAAAGCAGGTCACTCAACTGTCACTTTATTAAAAATAACTGATATTTAAAGCAGGTCACTCAACAGGGGTTTCCAAAGATGGGCAGCAGGGGTTTTGGTTGAGGGGACTGGAGGGAGACTACCGTTTCCAGGTCCTCCTCCCAACAGCCCCTGCTGTAACATACAGTAATGAAAACCACGAGGACATAAACCGTTACCTTTCTACTTCAAAATATACAACTTAGTCAGTTTTAATAGCAATGCTAACGAATGGGGAGGATTCGAACAGACATACACAGTACAGCATAAATTAAACATAGCCGGAGATGCCACACTATACCGGCGCGCAGTACACAACAGAAAATAGGCACAACCATTCTATCTTAGGCAGTCCCAAGTGGCTAGGTTTGCCACAATGCTCCCCCAAAACCAAGCCGGCATACACAGTCTGATCCCAACGGATCGGCTTGGGGATGTCCGGGGGAGTGCTCACAGATCATTTCTCAAGTTCTGTCTGTCTGGACAACCCATCGGCGTTACCATTCTGTTTTCCAGGGCGATAATGGATCGTGAAATCAAACGGCTGCAGCGCCAAACTCCAGCGCAACAGCCGGGCATTGTCTCCTGACACCCTGTGTAGCCACACCAACGGGTTGTGATCTGTGAGCAAGGAGAATGGTTGTCCATACAAATAAGGTTGTAACTTTTTGAGGGCCCACACCACGGCCAGGCATTCCTTCTCGATGGCGGCGTAGCCTACTTCCCTTGGTAGTAATTTTCTGCTTAAGTAAGCTACGGGATGTTCTCCGCCATCAGCTCCCACTTGGCTCAGTACTGCCCCCAATCCAAACATGGAAGCGTCCAAACATGGAAGCGTCTGTGTGAACAAGAAATCGTTTAGTTGGATCAGGGGCAGTTAACACAGGAGCCTTAGTTAATGCAGTTTTTAGTTCATGGAATGCCTGTTCACACTCTGGGGCCCAGTTGACCTGTCGTGGCAAGTTTTTCTTGGTCAAGTCCGTCAGGGGTTTGGCCAGGGCGCTGTAATTGGGCACAAATTTTCTGTAGTAACCAGCGGTACCAAGGAACGCCAATACTTGTGTCTTTGTCCTGGGGGTAGGCCACTTAGCTACTGCCTCTATCTTGGCCGGTTCGGGCCTCTGCTGTCCGCATCCTACCCTGTGACCCAGGTACTGCACCTCTGCCATCCCTATGTGACACTTGCTAGGTTTTAGTGTCAGCCCTGCCTCTCCAATACGGTCAATGACCACACTAATATGTTTCAAATGATCTGCCCAGGTCTGGCTATAAATGGCTATATCATCTAAGTATGCACAGGCGTACTCTTGGAACCCGTCCAGTAGCCGATCTACCATCCTCTGAAAGGTAGCCGGAGCGTTTTTCATCCCGAAAGGCATGACCCGAAATTGATAGAGGCCAAACGGGGTGACAAACGCCGACTTGGGGATGGCCTCCTCGGCTAGTGGAATCTGCCAGTATCCCTTACACAGATCAATGGTAGTGAGATACTGGCCTCTTGCCATCCTATCTAGCAGCTCATCTATACGGGGCATCGGGTAGGCGTCAGACACTGTTTTGTCATTGAGCCTCCGGTAGTCTACACAAAACCGCGTGGTGCCATCCTTCTTGGGTACTAGCACTACCGGTGATGCCCAGGGGCTATATGAATGTTCGATAACCCCTAACTGCAACATTTCCTCAATTTCTTTCCTCATGTGCTCCCTTACTGCTTCAGGGATACGATATGGAGTCTGTCTCATAGGGAGCTGTCCTGGGGTCTCTACTCGGTGGGTAGCTAACAGAGTGTACCCTGGTAAATTGGAGAAGGTAGCACCTTTTGCCGCAATCAACTCCTGTACCTTGGCACGCTCCTGGAGACTTAGCCGCTCCCCCAGCTGCACACCTGTAGCGTTTTCTGCAGAATCTTCCTTTTCTAACATGTCTGGCAAGGGCAGATTCTCATAATCCTCAGTGGCTGGGGCACAGATGGCTGCTACCTCCTCTATTCTCGGGTGATAGGGTTTGAGCATGTTCACATGGAGCATGCGTTTCCCGACCCCAGAGCACGGGCCGATAACATAAGTGGTGTCACATCTCTGTTCTACCACTTGGTATGGGCCCTGCCAGGTGGCCTGTAGCTTGTCTGTGCGGACAGGTTTCAAAATTAGAACTTTCTGTCCCACCTGAAAGCTACGGTCTCTGGCTCCATTATCGTACCACCGGCGCTGTCGCCGCTGAGCCGCCCGGAGGTTCTCCCGTACGGTGTGGGTTAGAGCCTCCAAGCGGTCCCGGAACTCCAGCACGTATGGCACAATGGGGACTCCATCTGCACTGCTCCCCACCTCCCAATGTTCTCTAATTAAGTCTAGGGGTCCCCTCACCCTTCTCCCAAACAATAACTCAAACGGAGAGAAGCCGGTAGATTCCTGTGGCACTTCTCTGTACGCAAAAAGCAGATGGGGTAAAAACCTCTCCCAGTCTTTATGGGACTCCCCAAATGTCCTGAGCATCTGCTTCAAGGTACCGTTAAAGCGCTCACACAACCCATTGGACTGCGGGTGATAGGCAGAATTTACAATTGGCTTAATGCCACATAACTTTCATAGCTGGTGGGTCACTTCGGCTGTAAATTGGGTCCCCCTATCCGAAATGATCTCTTGGGGAAATTCCATCCTGGAAAATATCTTCATCATAGCTTCGGCTACCGTTTCTGCTTGTATATTGGAAAGGGCTATAGCCTCCGGGTACCGGGTGGCATAATCTACAATGGTCAGAATATACCGCTTGCCGGAAGGGCTAGGCTTGGACAGTGGTCCTACTATATCCACTGCTACTCTGCTAAAGGGTTCTTCAATAATGGGAAGGGGGCACAATTTCGCTTTGTGGCGGTCACCCCCTTTTCCCACTCTCTGACAAATGTCACATGTCTGACAATACTGTCTCACATCTCTAGATATACCTGGCCAGAAAAATGCATGTGTCAATCTGTACCTCGTTCTTGTCATCCCTAAATGCCCAGACAGCGGAATATCGTGGGCAATTCTAAGCAGTTCCTGCCGGTATTTCTGGGGCACTATAAGCTGCTTATTAGTCACATGTACAGACACCCCTACCACCCGCTCAGCAACACGATATAACAGATTTTTCTCCCATACATACTGTTCTCCCTCTAAACCTGTCTGACCAGCTGTCGCCTTATCCTTATAAATTTGCAACGTGGGATCGTTTTTAACCTCTGCCTCAAAGTCAGTCGGGGTATCCCAGGAAACCCGGGTTACACGGGGTACATTGTCTCTTACCTGAGCCTCAGAGTGTGTGGAAGATGAAGCCGTGGTGCGAGCCTGCTGATGGGTGGTCACTGGATATGCCTCATGGCGAGGACTTTGGGGCACAAAAGCGGAAGTCATTTGCCCCAGGTCATTCCCCAAAACAACATCAGCTGGTAACTTGTGCATCAGCCCCACCTCCACCATACCTTCCCCCACACCCCAATTCAGATGTACCTTGGCAGTTGGTAGCCGGTACATGGCACCCCCTGCTACCCGGACTGCTACCGATCCCCCGGTATGTGCTGATCCTGACATCAAATGCGGGGCAACCAAAGTTAAGGTAGCGCCGGAATCACGTAGCCCCTGTACCTCTTTCCCTTCCAGAGTCACGGTCTGGCAATGTGGTTGTCGGTTGTCAGTAGCATGGATGGACATTACATCGTGCAAAACGCCCAGGGGTTCATCAGCCGACTCCAGCGGCACTCCTGGCAAAGTTGGCTCTGCATGATAATAATGAGCAGCTGCCCGCGGGGCCATATTCTGCCGGAGCTGATTCCAGTTCTTGCGGCTCCGGTTTTGGGTGCACTCCCGGGCCATGTGCCCCCATTGCTTACAGGCATGGCACTGGATGTTGGGCCTGCCATTATAACGGGAGTGGGGAGGTTGTCCCACAAGTGCTGGTCTGGATGGTGCTGTCGCTGGGGCAGGAGCAATAACTGGAAACGGTTGCGGGTTGGGTTTTGCATACCCTCGGTTATTATTTTTATGATGCCTCCTAGCATCATAATGTTGGTCGGCCAATTGTGCCGCTTCGGTTAGGGTGTGAGGATTTCGGTCATTCACCCATTCTTGAGCCTCTGGTGCCAGGCCATTACAAAACTGCTCCAGTAGCAACATCTGGCGTAACTCTTCCATGGTGGTAGCTCTGCTGGCTTGGATCCAGCCTTGTGAGGCTTGGTCAAGCTTGTGTGCCCACTCCGCATGTGAGTCTTTGTCCCCTTTTTTCAATTCTCGGAACTTGCGCCGGTATGCCTCTGGGGTAATGGCATACCTTTCTAATAGCGCCTGCTTTACCTTGTCATAATTCTTGCTGTCCTCTCTGGGTACAGCCCGGTAGGCGTCTGCTGCACGCCCAGACAGTTTGCCTGCCAACAAAAGTACCCACATAGCTTGCTCTACATCATGCAAGTCACACAATCTTTCAAAATCTTGCAAGAATCCATCTATTTCGTCTTTATCCTCGCAAAAAGTTTTAAATGCATGATGTGGTATTTTTGGCCTTCCCTGGCCCACAGTTGAAACAGCAGCGGTTTCTGCTTGAGGTGAGAAGGCTTGATTCATTTGCGCCATCACGTACTCCTGTGCATCCGCCGAAATTATGGTCATAATTTCTGGAGATACTGGAGCGGGCCAAAATGCCAATCTTGTCCTCATTTCTCGTTCAAATGGGGTCTCCTCCATGTTTGCTGGGGGTGTAGCACTACGAGCTCGGTCTCCTTCCATTAGCTCGGCAATAAGTCTTGCTTTAGGCTTATTGCTGGCTATCTTACCCCTGGCTTCCAACAGCTCCTTTAACGTTTGCCGTTTCAATATGGTGTAGCCCCCATTCACTTCTGCATCTGTATCAATTGCCTTCTGCTTTCCAGTATGTCAATTCCAATTGTATAAACAGCGTTTTTTCTGCTGTACGGTTGGATCCCGCCGCTTGCCACCAATTGTTGCAGAGCTGCAATTTTATAATCCCAGGATCTCTGCTGGTAGAATGCAATAACCAAGTACAAAGCTGGAAGCAGGCAATATTCCCAAATCCTCCCAAGAACCAGACGAAACACAGTCTGAGAGTCAACTGCCACTTTATTCAAAAAGACTGATATTTAAAACAGGTCACTCAACTGTCACTTTATTAAAAATAACTGATATTTAAAGCAGGTCACTCAACAGGGGTTTCCAAAGATGGGCAGCAGGGGTTTTGGTTGAGGGGACTGGAGGGAGACTACCGTTTCCAGGTCCTCCTCCCAACAGCCCCTGCTGTAAAATACAGTAATGAAAACTACGAGGACATAAACCGTT